TCAGTGAATGCCAAAAATTATGCACTCATTTAATAGAAATTTCTTATTATTGATTTCTCAAAAACTTTTATTCCTGTGATATATTCAAAATACCAGGAAAGTAAAAAAATATAGCCTCAGGATTTTCTGCTAAAAAAATCACTTTGTAGGCAAAAAGTTGAGTGAATATATTCATTTCATTATCTCTAACCTAACCACCCAGACAGCACTGGATATTCATAGAATATTCTCTAAATATGCTAAAAAGGAGGAGTATATTCCGAATATTCATCGATTATTCCTAGAATATATACATGCCTCTGGAACATCTAAAGGGAATATTCCAAAGTGAATAGTCGGACATGTTCAGAGAATATTCAGGTATGAATCTTTCAGGAATATTCCCAACTGAATATTCTCTGTTGTATATTCATGAAATATACCCAACTGAATATTCTGTGCGGTATATTCATGAAATATACCCAACTGAATATTCTGTGCGGTATATTCATGAAATATTCTCAACTGAATATTCTGTGGTGTATATTCATGAAATATATGTTTCTCAACACATAAATACCATTTATTATTTCAGAGATGTGAGTATCGAACATCAATTAGATGTAAGGTGATTTTGAAACAAAAAGTGTTTATGATCCGATTTCGAACAATGCTCTCACAAGAACTTGATATGTATAACATTATTCAATTCGATTACTGGCCTAGTGGTCAAGGCGTTGCTCTGATAGTCTTGAGGTCACGAGTTCGATCCCTACTTGGGTCACTTTTTTTTATTTTAGAATATGTTTATTAGAATATTCCAGGAACATTCAACATAGAATATTCTTTTGGGTATATTCTATGATTATCTGAGGAATTCCCATTCGCATATTTAGAGAATATTCCACAGATATTCCGGAATATTCCAGATTATTTCTGGAATATTCCAATATTCCAAAAGGAATATGATAGGGAGATTCATGGAATATCTGGTGCTGTCTGGGCATATTGTGAAGCCTGAAAATAGTTTCTCATTTCTTTGAAAATAAATTCTTAGGTAGAGCAAGAAATATAACAAAAATGATATTATACCTGTCTAATTAATTGTCCATAATCACAATCTGAATATAAATCCATATTACTAGTTGTTTCTCTGAATAACATTTATTTTCAGTTATCTTTGATGTTCATAGAACAGTTTCTTCACTTGGGATTTGAAGTGTCATTTTTTGCAAAAGAAGTTGAGTTCAAAAATTTATTTTCAATGATTTTATTCGATGTATAAGATGATATGTGGAGTGTAATGTGTTTGGAACAATATTAAACTGGCATTTAATTTTTTTTCATAATTTTTTCTTCAACACCTATCATAAAGTACATAGAATAGTATATAAACCTCGGCACTAAAGTGTTTTCAAATACCTAGGTGTATAATGTGGTTCAAATTTTTGCTTCAAGTTACATGTTATTTGAATATCATATTCAGGGTGATTCATTAAAAATGGGATATCTCTCAACTATAGATAGTAAACACTACAATATTGAGATTTAGTCTAACATGCCTGATAATGAATGTTGCTGGTTTAGGAGATACAGGGTGTTTTAGGGGGAGATTTAATTTCAAATTTTCTCAATAACTTTGTGAGTTTCAACAGCATAAAGATGAAATTTTGTAGTAACATGTTTTCTGATATGAGAAATACGAATTTGCAACTTATTTTGTGATTACTTGTAGAGGGCGCTAGTGGTACTCTATTACTTTGGTAATTTTTGACATATTTTCTTTCATTTTGGGACACCCTGTATTTAAAAAAGAAAACTATGCAATTTTAATTTCGGTCAGCAAATCATATTTTCCCGTTTATCATCACATTTTTTTAATAATGTAATTAGTAGTTGAAAAGTGTACAGGGTGAGTCATTTCTTTGTAGCAGGACTTCAACAGCTAGTTCACTTGAACATATACATACATGGGAGCTTCCTTTCCCATAAACAACAGGGAGTCAAAGATAAAAATGTTTAAATGTTTTTCTAGTTTTTTTCTATAATTTCAAGAATAAAGAATTGAAATTGAATACCTTAAATACTAAATATTTGGGGCTTTTAGGCGATTCTGAATACTAACAGAGTGATACACTTTTGGTAGGTTGTACCCAATTTAACCCTCTTGAACTATACTGTGTGCTCCCTCTCCTTTCAATGAAACATTAATTTGAATTCTGTGTAAGGTTTGGATTATTTTTGCTCTCCTTTAATCATCAAAAGCTTATTTCATGGATGTGTCAAAATCAAGTCAGTGGCAAGAGTTGAAAATTACAAAAAAATATGTCATCTGTATATCGGAAAAGGAGCTCCTACGCATAATATGTTCACTTGAGATTTTTTACCTTAAAATAGTATCTTCTTCAAGCTGTTGAAGTCCTGCTACAAAAAACGGACTCACCCTGTATAACAAAATCTACTAGTTGAGTGCAAGATTACATAGTGCAGAAATTCAACTCCTCTATGATTTCATTTTCAATTCAACTGGTTTTTTTTTTAGGTAATTTTCAATTTCCTTTCTGGATTTATTGAATATTGTCACTGTTTCCAAAGAATTTTACCCTTCATAATTCTTCCAATCTGACCAAGAAAGCAGCCAAACATGAAAGCCATGCCCCTTATAAAAGGTTGACTGATGATTTGGATTCAACCTGTGACTGATCTCCAAAAAAAAGTAGTTTAATAGACTATATCCTGAAATACAGCATTTTTCACTGAATATGCTAATTTTGTCATATTTACATAATTCAATAACATATGAAATATTTAATGAATATAATAAAATTTTACTTGCCTTATTACCTATTATCAACCTATTTTTATTTATACATCCATGGAATCCAGCAAATAAAGTGGATTATTTTCACTTTTGATAGAAACCCAAGTTCAATGAGTAGTGTGTCATATTCAAACTGATGAATTTTTCAGAGAGTCAACTCAATTTTCTTTCACAGTCTCCATTCAGATGAGTTTTTTTCTTTGTGAATTTGAAGTTGTGATTTTCATTTTTTAGAATGTAGATATTTTATACTATATTTTTATGAGTGAGGTAGGTACACTGTGTATTGTGAATATAGGAATTATATAATTTCATATTTGGTTTCACTTCTACAAGCTGTAATTCAACTTTCTATATTTGTTATGCACTGCTATAATTTCTAGAAATATATCAATATGGTTGAAAAAATTTAGGTACTCATATTATTCTTATGTTGTACTGATATTCAAATTTCAATATTGCTCATTGTTAAAATGGCAAACAGAAGATACTACTCTTTGGAAGATATGTATTTGATTGAATTATTCAATATTTTCTGAATAGCAGCCTTACACATTTGCTCATCAGGATTCAATAGAATATGTTTAGTATCAAGGTCAGGTTCCTACAAATACATTCCCTCAGTTCATTGAGGAATAGCTGGAATTCAATGATATCAAAGACAAGTATCAATAATAGCATAATCCTATCAAACATTTTACCAAGATTGACACATTTAATTATGATTCAGAACTTTCTTGAAATATAATTAGTAGCTATCTTACCTGTTAGTACATGATAAATAAGAGATGCATGGTTTCACAAAAATAATGTGTAATGTTACATAAGTATAATAACTTTATTTATGAAAGGGGTATGATAAAGTAGGTACATATTGAGATATGAGGTAAGTAATACATATTCATCAGAAAGGGTTAACATCATTTCATTTTGCAAATGAACTTGATAGCTACATTCGGGGCTCATCGAAATCTCCACATTTAGAATTCTCACTGCAGGTATTTCTCCATAATTGAAATGAAATAGAAGGCAGCAACATTATTTACTACATGTAGGTAGGAATGGTTTTTCACAACCCTCAACTCCGAAGTAGGTAAAGCTTCTTTCTTCACATATTCATCATCGGTCCCAGGAAATGTTCAATAAATTATCCAAAAGCAATCATAGGTGCATAATTGATAAGATTTTCCGGATTGTTTTACGTCTTGTTTAGATGATAGCAAAGGAAATAATTAAACTGAACTATCCAAAAACTATGTAGGTATGTACACACTACTGTCGAATCCCATAATTGTCGAGCCTTCCATTCTGTTTGTTATTTTGGGGACATCCATGTATAACGAAACTGCGAATAAAACTTTTCAAATACTGAAAATCACAATTTTTAGATTTTTACATTTGTTCGACATTATTCCGTTAACCATCACTATCCGACATCAACAAGCTCTAAGCTCTCTACTGTGACAGATCTGATCAGAAGATCTTGATCGCATAAAATGTCAATCATAGAATCAAAGAGAAACAGAAATCATCGGTAAAGTCGAAATTGGGCTTACCGATCATCTATCGTGCCGCCATCTACACACGAGCCGTGAAATATTGATGGGGTTGTGAACCCGGCTATAAAAAGTCTACAGTTTTTGGAGAATAACAAATGAAGAGCTGTTTCACCATATATCTATCCACCTTTGTTCAGACCCATCCTTCCCAGGTGGTATCTTAGACGACAGTGTCTCGTAAGCAGTCTGGAATAACTCTTTAACTTAATGAACAAATCTTGGAGGGGTTGATCGGTGAGGTATAGGAGGTTGAAGGTAGTCAAAAATGTTTTTAGTCAAAAAGCAGATTTCCAACCATATGAATCGACGTGTCCGAGGATTTTTTAAAATAAATTTTTGTTTCATAGAGATACGAATTTTATTCTCACACAGTTTTCCACACAATATAATATATAATAATCAGGAAAAAATATCACGTTTTTATAATACGCCTAAATCTTTAGATTTGCGTACAGCAAAAATTCCGGAAGTTTTGCTCTTGGTGAGCCGACATGCAATAATAGTGAGTTAGTCGATTACATAATAGTTGTGAACTGTGATCTCGATTGATTTTAAGAAAGGGTTCTTGTGATTTGTATTCTAATTCTGCATCATACAACACTATGTGGAATAAAGCATTTCAAAAAAATTTTTTTTTATAGGAATATGTCACATGCATATGGCTGGAATCCCAAATTGTGAGTATAGCAATTTTAACATTCTGATTTCGATTAATGCCACAGAAAAGTAACGGAAGATGACGATATTACCAACAAATTTTCATTTTTTCGATCCCTATATAGAAAGATATGTCAATTGGATTATGCACTACAATTTCTTCTCAACTGAACGTGAAAAATGATTATAATATCTGGACACAGAGAGATCAGCTTTCATGGAAAAAAGGCATGCCTGTGTTTTGTTTGCATTAAAATCTACCAAGTTATTGGATCCCCATTCGAAAATAATTGTTGCCAAGTCCATATTTATGTTGTCAACATTTCTCCCTCGTTCGCTTCTGATTTGCCTGGCAGGTAGAAATGTTATTGGTGCTAGAATTGGTCCTTGCGGAACAATAGCATTTATAATAAGAGAGTCAGATGAAACTCCGTCGACCACTACATGGAGAAACCTGTGTGAGCGAAAACTATCCAGCAGAGAACATAGCTGGGGAGACAAGCCATAAGATGGAAGCTTGGCGAGAAGCCCGTGGTGCCAGACTCGATCGAATGCCTTGGAGATATCAAGTGCCACGGCTAAGGTTTCACTATATTTTTCAATAGATTGCTGCCATATATGTGTGACGTAAGCGAGCAGGTCAGCAGTTGATCTCTGATGACGAAAGCCATATTGCCTATCGTTGATAATATCTGAGTGTTCCAGGTATTTCATGAGCTCGATGTTGATAGCTTTCTCCATAATATTTGACATACCTAATAGATAGCAGATGCGATCGGTCTGTAGTTGCTATAGGTAAGATCTTTTTGAGTTTTTTAGGAACTGGTTGTACACTTACAATTTTCCAGTCGGACGGGAATATCCCCAATTCGTAGGAGTAGTCGAACAACTTGCATAGAACAGATGTTAGTTCGGGAGCACAGTCCTTGAGGACAATCGATGGAATTCCGTCAGAGCCACAAGCATTGTTGGTGTTGAGACCCAATAAAATCTTCCTTATAGTACGTTGGCGAAAGGTGATCTCGGGCATATGACTGTCAATTGGCGTTATGTTTGGAGGTTGTTTTCCCGATGAATTCAGAGTGAAATTTTCAGCAAATAAAAGCGCAAAAATGTTGTCATTCTCATGGGCAGTTGTGGCTAGTGTAGCATCTTCCTCGGTTAAAGGAGGAAATGAGCTGAAAGTGAAGTTTCTTCCAATAGCTTTGGCGAAGGACCAAAATTAACAGAATACGTTAGGACATTCAACAAGTTTTGATCTTATTTTGGCATTATGAGCAGCCTTTGATAATCGCATTGTCTCATTGCATATGTCTCCAGCCTCGACATATTCTGCTCTAGTCTCAGGGCTTGAATTTTTCTGCCATCGATGGAATGCTGCCTGTTTGGAAGCGACAGCTCTAGAGCAGTTTCTACTGAACCAGGCCTTATCGGACGATATTCTTGCAGTGTTCGGTATGTGGGTTTGCATCTCCCAACATGATGATTTCAGAAATTGTCTCAGCACATCGTGTTGGGTCTGCTGAGGAGAAACAAACTCTCTTCCATGGAAACGCTGAATATAATGTGTGCGATTCGGAACCGCAGAACTCTCGTAATCTGGAATGCGTTGACTAATGTCGATCAAAATGAAAACCTTACTAACTACCTAACTCATTTCGAAAACTTGAAATGTCGAAATGTTGGTAGTACTTATATCGTGTGATCAAATTTGATATATTCAAATTTTGAAAACCCATTTTTTTTTTGTATCTTCTGCCTATTTGATTCGGTCATATCTCAAGAATAATACTTACTCTTGAACCAATTCCGAGCCTGATATCTCATACACGGTATGTTTATTTCACGAAGGCCAATTAAAAAATTAATTCTCTTGTATCTGATTCTGTACGAAAGCAAGAAAAAGTCCTTGAAGTTTATATTACCAAAAGTCGCTATCACTCCAATTCTCTCATTTTGAAAACATTTATCAATGGAATCAGTATCAAAAAACTCTAACCAGAATTAATATTTTTGATTTTCAGATCAAACCTGATGGTACTCTGAACAGGGATCGCATGATGGAACTTTGCCCTCCTCAGATAAAAGAAACAGGTCCGAAAATAGTACTAGGGTGTTGGGAGAAAGTTGATGGTTAGTCTTCGTTTACATCTACAATAACGCCATTCTGTTCACTGAAATAATTCAATTTAAGGGTTCGGTGCATAGACAAAAATTTGGAAATAATGAATATTAAGACCAGTCAAGGGCGAGAACTATCTGAGGGCCCAATTTACTCGAACGTGAAAACAAAGTTTCTCTCCATATACTTTGGCAAAAATGTCCTTGACTAACTACGGAACGTCTCTAAAAATATATCATGGTTTAAAAAACTGAAAATCACACTTTTATATGTACAGCCAAACTAAAAACAGCAGAAAACAATAGTTATTCATACAGCAAGTGCAAGAAGTACCTAAGTGTTCATTGCACGCGTTGTAAATTTGTCAAACGAGGCGGTTATCTCTCCCGTCATTTACCATTTATGTTGTTAATTCCATTGAAGAATCAGAATCGAATCAGAAATCAAAGAGTCTGAGCATTGTTCCATATTCTTATTTTAAAGCCCTGAAATCGGGGTTCGAAGTTTTCGTTGGACCACTCTGTATAAATGGCAGAACAATGCTATTTCTTTTCTGACGAGTATGCGAAGAGCGTATGTAGTACTGGGCCGGCCATGCATAATTTGAAGCAAACTATACAGATTGTTAGCCCAATCGTTACATATACTGGGTGTTTCTCAAGAGTGACTCACCCCTATAACCCAATAACGAATGCAATTCGCTTTGTGAGTACAGTTCACAAATATGCATTGATAGACGTATCCAATTGTTTTCTTCGAAGCCCTGGAAGGGACACATAAAATAAAAAAAATAAAAACTCTTCAAAATTCCGACTTATAACTCGGAAATTTAAAATTCCGAGTTATAACTCGGAATTTTACATCAAAATTCCAACTTATATCTCGGAATTTTAAAATTCCGTGTTATAACTCGGAATATTGGATGTAAAATTCCGAGTTATAACTCGGAATTTTAAAATTCCGAGATATAAGTCGGAATTTTGATGTAAAATTTCGAGTTATAACTCGGAATTTTGAAATCCCGAGTTATAAATCAGAATCTTTAAGAGTTTTAATTTTTTTTATTTTATGTGTCCCTTCCATCAGGCCTTCGTAGTTTTCTGCCGCTTCCCGTTTAGCCGGAAATGATTTTCTTATTTTAAATGGAGAACTTGGTATGTTTTTACTTATTTCGATAAGGAATGACATTGTGAGTACGATGACACCCCATTTGCCACTTCTTGACATTTACCATTCTGAAATTTTCATTTTTGAATTTCCCATCTAGAGTGAATATGATATTATGATTCAAAATATCGATCATGTGGTATCAACGTGTTCGTAACAAAATACTCTTCTCAAATATTGTCATGAGCCACCCTTGTTCTATTAGAAAAATATTGAGTCAACATCATGATAATTATTACGATATTGAGACTTTTTGAACAACCTGTGAAACAAATGGAGAGTAAAGTTACATCGAAAATATTCTTCCATGGCAACTTGATTCGAAATCAATTGTTTTAACTCATTCATGGCACTCTAGATTGAAAATTGAAAAAGAAAATTTTAAGATGATACATGTCTGAAAGTTGCAAATGTCGTGTAGTTGTAGGTACTCACAATGTTATTCTTAATCGAAATGAGTATAAATATGCCGAGTATCCCATTCAAAATAATAAAAAAAGGGCCATATCCGGTCAAACCGGAAGTGGCAGAAACAATTGAATGAGTCGAATTATGTTTATTTATGTACCATACTCACACACCCAATGTCATGTGTTCATCTGTAGAAACAAAAAAATTCAAGAGGTGAGCCACTTTTGAGAAACACCCGATATAGGGCATGTGAATGGCAACATGATTCGGCTTTCGTACGTTTTCGCTTGTCTAGATTACCTCCAATTTGAAAGAATCGTGAAAAATTCTTCCATACAAGTTTTTGAATAACGAAAATATGTTGAAATTATGATAACAAAGGGGAGTGAAACCATTGAATAGGACACCCTGTACAATAACATTTTGACCACCCTGTATATGATCTGACGGAACTGCTGAAAAATCAATTCAGATTACAATGGCTGATCCATGTCAAATTTCAAATGCCCGTATTCAGGAGTCAGCGGATGTGCTAATTTAATATCTCATTTTTTGTTTTAGAGGTGACTCCCCTGGAGAAGAGAGTATACGAACTGCAGAAATGTTTCTACAAATCTGATCCAGAGGTAGGGTGAAGCAAATATCGTCATTGAACTATTATCAATATAGCATTTCTTTCAATTCGCAGAATTATATTATGATTTGATGAGACGATGATACTGACCCGTAAATTGAGGCAGCCCTCCTGCGACCGTGGATTTGGATTTAACTACATTAGAGTTTCCTCTTCTTCCTCAAGAATTATAAATTGAAACTCCGAAACATTAAACCTTTCGATTCAATGAATTCGTTTTTGTTGATTACCCAAGTAGCAAGTTGGCGACGACAACCACATAATACACCAAAACTAGCGTTGTACGTAGTAGGTGTTGAAATTAGTCATTCATTAAACGAAGTCCTCTAAACCACCGAACAACGTCGTCTCAGTGTTTAGCATGACTTGAGTTAAACTATGACGTTGTTACAACGTTCATCCAACCAACTACGAAGTAGTAAGTATTTAGGGACTGGCAAAATGACGTTTTAATTTTTTAATTTTAAACGTGGTTAAGTGACAACTTTATTTATTTAAACATTTAAATATGAACATCTACTTGTTCACAACTGACCTATTTTTAGGACATGACATGACATGATGAATGATGTCAGTGTCAATGTCAAAAATCCTCAAATTCTTCTGGATAGCTGAATTCTGAGGCCTGTTGTTCTGAACATCTTCGGAACCAGAATAGTATGGTGTCTCTTATTCATGACTTATGTGAACTCAAGTTATGGTGAAGAGCTTCCTAAATTGAAAATAACACGAGCCTTCAAATACACTACTGGCTCCTATCAGGCAAAAAAAAAGAGATTATATCGTGAAGAAATTTCACAAGTACAAGCCTACATGAAGACAGAGCGATTGTGAAGTTTTATTTTTTATGCAGGAATAATCACCAACTTGCCCCTTTGTAGGGGGCCAGTATGCCCTGACCAGTTTCTTACCATTCGTGTGGTATTGGTTCTACCACTTGGTCCTCTTGCGTGCTTTTTATGTTCAAAGCTATGAAATGGGCAGCCATTATTTCTGAAATCTTTTGCTATCCCAGATTTCAGAAGAAAATGTTATAGAGAAAATGAAGAATGCGAAAAATACGAGAAATGATATCAATCATATCAATGGTCAATGATCGATGACAGATGACATTTAACGCAAATGATGGCGAGAGGCGCGTTGCACAATGTGGAGAATGGTGGAGTAGTTGGACTGCCTTCAGTTCAAGGTCGGATACGAAACCCCAGTGCACTTCAGGTTAGGTCCCAACCCGACCCAATTTCCTTTTCCTTCCACGCCAACCTCCCTTCTTCATACAGAATACGCGATGATGAGTTCTCCTCAAGTAAAATTATCCGGAAGTAAAATAACTCTCCATTCGGATTTCCGGGCGAGAGGTGCTAGAGGGGGTTCACCATCGGCTGAAAAAGTCCTCAAGATAGACCTATGTAACATCCGAGGTCTAAGTAAGAACATCAACGATGTCCATCGACACCTTCAAATTGAAAAGTCAGACATATTGGCTCTTACTGAGACACAGGTCAATTCATCCACCAATACGACCTATCTGCTCTGTCCTGGGTACGAACTCCACACACGTTTTAGATTCAAGGGAGGTCTCTGCCTCTACTCTAAAACGAATCTCTCATGTCAACGAGAAAAAACTTTGGAACCAAACAAGTTTGATGTCATGTGGTTCAAACTCGATAGCCAGAAACAGACCAAATACCTATGTTGTCTCTACTTATCACCAAATGATCCATCCTATGAAGAGCTCTTCGAATTCTTGTCTCTGAAGCTTGACCAAATCCAACAGAACCATCCAGCAGCAGAAATCATCATCATGGGCGATTTCAATGTACACAACACTGCTTGGCTCGTACACTCTAACAGAACGGATGAAGCTGGGCGACAAGCCGAAGCTTTCGCCATCACCCACGGCTGAGAGCAGCTTATCAAAGAACCCACACGAATTCCCGATGTCAATAACCATTCAGCTAACATACTTGACTTATTCCTTACTAATAATTCAGCACCCTACACCATAGATGTACGAGCTCCACTTGGCAATTCTGACCATACACTCATCTCCACAACCTGCCCATTTTTCATTCCATCAACTGCTCCGGCACCCCCACGTCTTATATGGCATTACAATTCAGGAGATTGGGACGGTCTCCGCATGTTTTTCTCCGAGTTTCCTTGGCATAGAGTATGCTTTGACTCTGAGGACCCTTCACAGTGTGCTGCGGAAATATCCGAGATCATCATGCTCGGAATGGACACATACATACCTCATTTTTCGAAAAGATCATCACCTTCGAAACCCTGGTTCAACAAAAACTGTTCTAGAACTGTTGCCTTGAAACAAACAGCCTACCATCGCTGGCGCAAAAACCCTAACCTCGCGACTAGAGCAGAATACGTTGATGCCAGGAATAACTGCAGCCAAACAATAGATTCTTCGAAAGAAACATACAATGCCAAACTAAGATCGAAACTCATAGATTGCCCCAATGGCTCTCGTTCGTTTTGGTCCCTTGCTAAAGCGGTCGGAAGAAATTTCACTAATAGCTCATTTTCACCACTGTCCAAATCCGACGGCACGTTAGCAACAACATCGCAGGAGAAAGCAAATATTTTTGCAGAGATGTTCGCAGCAAACTCTACTTTAGATTCCCAAGGAAAACTGCCGCCAGACATTCCACCCGTTGAGAGTCGAATGCCCGAAATCGTCTTCCGTCAACGCACTATCAGACGAATTTTGCTTGGTCTCAAAACGAATAAGGCTAACGGCCCTGATGGAATTCCACCCATTATCCTCAAAAAATGTGCACCAGAATTAACACCGATTCTCTGCAAGTTGTTTACCATCTCGTACAGGTCGGGTATTTTTCCATCATGCTGGAAGACAGCTAGAGTCCAACCAATCCCCAAAAAAGGGAACAAGAACCTGCCCAACAACTACAGGCCCATTGCCCTGTTATCAGTAATCTCCAAAGTGATGGAGAAAGCCATCAATATTGAGCTTATCAAATATCTGGAGAGCTCAGGAATCATCAATGATAGACAATACGGCTTTCGCCATCGAAGATCTACTGGAGATCTACTTGCCTACGTCACCCATTTATGGCAATCTTCAATAGAAAAACACGGGGAATCTCTAGCTGTCGCGTTGGACATTTCGAAAGCATTCGACCGTGTTTGGCACGAAGGACTCCTCCACAAACTACCATCATACGGCTTACCACCTCAGCTAGGCCATCTCTTATCGAGTTTACTTTCAGGCAGATCGCTTCACGTGGTGGTGGACGGTGTATCGTCTGATAACTTTGGCATCAATTCCGGCGTTCCACAAGGATCAATTTTGGCACCAACATTATTCCTGCTTCATATCAATGATCTGTTGGGAGTAACAACTTGCCCCATCCACAGCTTTGCAGATGATAGTACCCTCCATACTGCGTTCTCTTCCAGAATTCCCATTTCTTCCCAGGAAACTAAGAACTCACGGCGCAGGCAGGTCAATGCTGTCAATGAAGATCTTGCTGAAATCACAGCCTGGGGAACAAACAACCTAGTGGAATTCAACGCCACCAAAACTCAAGCCTGCATTTTCTCTAGAAAGGCGGAACTCAGTATGCCCGATATTGTGATGTCTGGCTCCACCATCCCCACCAAGCCCACCATATCTATGCTCGGTATTTCCATCAGCAACACTCTTTCATGGGATAATCATGTCAGATCCATCGCAAAAGCTGCTTCACAAAAACTCGGATTCTTGTTCCGTGCGAAAAGCTACTTTACACCTCAACAGCTTCTCATGATATACAAAGCGCAGATACGGCCTGTTCTAGAATACTGTTCCCACATATGGGGTTCAGCACCAAAACATACGCTGATGCTCTTAGATTCCATCCAGAGAAGAGCCATTCGCCTGGTGGGTGACGCCACACTCACTCTTTGACATCATTGGAACACCGTAGAAAGGTCGGCGACCTTTCACTTTTCTATCGATACTTCCACGGAAAATGTTCTTCGGAAATCTCTGCTATCATCCCTTCACTAGCAATACCAATCAGACGAACTAGACAAGCCCAGTCAGCACATCCTTTCGTTGTCAACCTCGAAAGATGTCGAACAGCACTTTATCAAGACTCCTTCATCCATAGAACGGCTAGGCTCTGGAATTCATTGCCTGTGGAAGTATTCCCAACAACATATAATCTCCAAAAGTTCAAAAAAAATTCCAATACCCACCTCCTGTCCCTATCCTCCCTAGGAACGCGCGATGTTCTTTGAACATTATAGGGATTCCCTTTCGTGCGCTCCAAGCGATAAAAAAAAAAAAAGGTATTGAGACTTATGGAATAAACAAACATATTTAGGAGTATCATTGTCCTATTTGATTCTGTAGAAAACATTCATATATATATATATATATACAGTATGATGCAAATTTATGGAATGAATTCATTTCAAAACAAGACGACTTCCGAAAAAAATTCAAAAACTAGACTTCAGAACTTCAATAATTGATGTATTTTTTTATATAGACGACCCTTCGTTGTTCAATTCTCAGTAGCAGGCCTCTACAAGATTCAGTTAATCAAATGATAATCCATTTCGATTTCAATTTTCTTATGCAAAATGTTGACTGTTGAATAGACGATCAGTAGTAATCCTTCATTACGTCATTGCTCCAACACCGGTGACGTAACATCTCTCATATGGAAATCATGAGATGAGGCTTCAAAAATGAAACCTCACAAGTTTTTGGAATTTTTTGAAATGTCGCCCATTTCTGAAATAATGAATTTATTCCATACATTTGCATCATACTGTTCATATATATCCCTTTATTCCTCATTTGAATCAATATCAAATTTGAACATTTTTTATCAAAAAATATTCATTTTTTATTTTTTTCAAATTTCTCAGTGTCGACAAATCCGCAATGAATGAAAGGCGTGCTTGTTTTCTGGCATGAAACGATAGATTGTCAGAAAGTTGAATTGAATCCGCTGTTGATTTCTGTCTCCAATCGCTATTGTTCGGCAATATAAATATGGTATTTGAGAATGGAACATTTTGTTATTAACAGGCCATAATAGTTGTCTGAAAGTTTTTCCTAAGTGACCATTCTGGTCCCCGATAATTATTTGGTTA